TAAAAGTTATCAACTATTTTATTTCTCAGCAATGTCCAGATTTTATGTTACCAATAAATTTGCCGTTATTAAATGTTAACTCCATGGATGGTTTACTCAAGGGCAATATGATTTGACTCGCTTATTGTTCTGTAGGCTCTGCCATTGTCAGTCCTAATCCCAGACGAGAAAGAATAGTTAGGCTTTTAGGCCATCTTCCTACCCCACGCTATTAAATAAGAATACAAAGTTATACAAACGCTCCAAATAAACATATATCGTGGCACATTATAACGAGAAGCGAAACGAGAAAAGCTAAACTGAAATGGAAACAAATGTACTTAGGACACAAGTACGGCTATGCAAACTAAAGTCTAACGCTACTGAGAGGCAACGATGCTTGGTTGGATTTCATCTGTGATTTCGAAAGAATTGCATATGGTAACACGGAATGGAAAATTACTAGATTGTGAATCCCTTATCACATCTAACAGTATAACAAGATGATTGCTCTGAAGTCGAGTGGCCATGATATGATTATGGTAAGTGCGGTGGTACAGGTTCAGCCCCCAGTGCGATGTTGTCTGCTAATGCACAGCTTAGAGTTACCCCCAGTGCAATGTTGTTTGCTAATGCACAGCTTAGAGTTGCACCCAGTGCGATGTTGTCTGCTAATGCACAGCTTAGAGTTGCACCCAGTGCAATGTTGTCTGCTAATGCACAGCTTAGAGTTGCACCCAGTGCAATGTTGTCTGCTAATGCACAGCTTAAAGTTGCACCCAGTGCAATGTTGTCTGCTAATGCACAGCTTAGAGTTACCCCCAGTGCGATGTTGTCTGCTAATGCACAGCTTAGAGTTGCACCCAGTGCGATGTTGTCTGCTAATGCACAGCTTAGAGTTGCACGCAGTCTCAAACAATCGTTTGGAAAGTCTAGACCATGGGGACAGAATTATTGTTTACACCAGCCCCACCCCCACCCCCCCACACCCACCTCTCCCCCCCCCCACCCGCTCGTTCCCCACCTCAGATTACGGTAACCTATAAACGATGAACCGCTAGCGGTTCCCCCAGGGCTAGTGCTTGTCTCTGTATCGTCTTCTCATCAACTGATGACAATTGCATGCCTCATTTACTCAGCGATAATAGCCATCCTATGAGCTACTAATAAATACCCGTCACATTTTGTTTCGTTTACTCAAGCCTAGTTTTGATCTTGCTTGTGTTATTTACATTGCCGTTTCAGTATTTACGTACCTTTTGTATTTACACCGAACAAAAAATATTACATATATTAGAAATCGAATTTTGCCAGATAAAATTATATTATGAAACCGATCTGATATTGCATCTGAAACATATTAATGGCGTCTGATAAAGTTATACGTTGTACACAGATATTTGTGAGCTTGTTTCCTGTCCGGGCTGCTACTTAAAGTCTTGAGCATTCAAAGATTCGCATTCTAGATAGCATTCTAACAGGACAGTTCGCATACTAGATGAAAGTCCCAAAAGACAGTTCGCATCCTCGATGACAGTCTAACAAGACAGTTAGCATCCTCGATGACAGTCTAACAAGACAGTTCGCATCCTCGAGGACAGTCTAACAAGACAGTTCGCATACCATATGACAGTCCAACAAGACAGTTCGCATCCTAGATGACAGTCCAACAAGACAGTTCGCATCCTCGAGGACAGTCTAACAAGACAGTTCGCATACCATATGACAGTCCAACAAGACAGTTCGCATCCTAGATGACAGTCCAACAAGACAGTTCGCATCCTAGATGACAGTCCAACAAGACAGTTCGCATCCTCGAGGACAGTCTAACAAGACAGTTCGCATACCATATGAAAGTCCAACAAGACAGTTCGCATACCATATGACAGTCCAACAAGACAGTTCGCATCTTAGATTACAGTCTAACAAGACAGTTCGCATTCTAGATGACAGTCCAACAAGACAGTTCGCATCCTCGATGACAGTCCAACAAGACAGTTCACATCCTCGATGACAGTCCAACAAGACAGTTCGCATCCTAGATGACAGTCTAGCAAAACAGTTCACATCCTAGATGACAGTCCAGTAAGATAGTTCGCATCTTAGATGACAGTCTAACAAGACAGTTCACATCCTGGATGACAGTCCAGTAAGATAGTTCGCATCTTAGATGACAGTCTAACAAGACAGTTCACATCCTAGATGACAGTCCAGTAAGATAGTTCGCATCTTAGATGACAGTCTAACAAGACAGTTCACATTCTAGATGACAGTCCAGTAAGATAGTTCGCATCTTAGATGACAGTCTAACAAGACAGTTCACATCCTAGATGACAGTCCAGTAAGATAGTTCGCATCTTAGATGACAGTCTAACAAGACAGTTCACATCCTAGATGACAGTCCAACAAGACAGTTCACATCCTAAATGACAGTCCAGTAAGATAGTTCGCATCTTAGATGACAGTCTAACAAGACAGTTCACATCCTAGATGACAGTCCAGTAAGATAGTTCGCATCTTAGATTACAGTCTAACAAGACAGTTCACATCCTAGATGACAGTCCAACAAGACAGTTCACATCCTAGATGACAGTCCAGTAAGATAGTTCACATCTCAGATGACAGTCCAACAAGACAGTTCGCATCCTAGACGACAGTCCAACAAGACAGTTCGCATCCTCGATGACAGTCCAACAAGACAGTTCGCATTCTAGATGACAGTCCAACAAGACAGATCGCTTCTTAGATGACAGTCTAACAAGACAGATCGCTTCTTAGATGACAGTCTAACAAGACAGTTCGCATCTTAGATGACAGTCTAACAAGACAGATCGCTTACTAGATGACAGTCTAACAAGACAGATTGCTTCTTAGATGACAGTCTAACAAGACAGATCGCTTCTTAGATGACAGTCTAACAAGACAGTTCGCATTCTAGATGACAGTCTAACAAGACAGTTCACATTCTAGATGACAGTCCAACAAGACAGTTCACATCCTAGATGACAGTCCAGTAAGACAGTTCAGTAATATAGTTCGCATCTTAGATAACAATCTAACAAGACAAATTTTAGATAACCAGTTGCAGCGTCATAATCGATTATAACTAGTGCACATGTAAAGAATACGCCAGGTTCTTTCTAGTGTGTCCTCCTATAGGAAGCTATGAGTATTACAGTCAGATATTATAAAGAAGCTGTATGTAAGACACACTCACATGTCATAGATACAGTATCTTCATATTGTCTCATTGTGAAGATCCTGGGTTCTGATAGCCGTCTACAACAGAGCATTACTGAATGTAGCCGTTACTCACCCACTAATTAAATAGATACTTCAACTAAAACGTGCGTGCACTATCACTATGCTGTTTCTATGACGATAGTTTTGCTTTCCCTGCTAGGATGTGATTATCCTGTTCAGTAATCATAAGTCACCAAGGCCGCACCTGCTGAAGTGGTCATGGACATTCACTGGCGGATCTGACAGTAGATCTCGTCTAGGGTGGTGCTTCCTCCTCACTAGAAATTTTTACCAGTCATCTCCGTAATCTACACGGGCTGTCAGATGCTGCTGTCAGTTGATTAACCTCAAGTGTTTACTGACACGGTTTCTATATTATTGATAATTATTGGGCTTTAGGGATGTCCCTTTTTCCCTTCAGTGCTATCCGGAATTTGGAATATGACTTTAGTAATTTACCACTATAAATAAGAGAGTGCGTGGTTTTCGTGACTATGGGTTGTAGCTCAGGTATTAATGACATCCCGATCGTTTGTTTGTTTTTTGTCTGGTGTAGTGAAGATGTCTGAATTGTTGTTTGTGTTATAGAAGGTTCTATGTAAAGTTGAACTTTGAGCAATCGACATCACAGCATAGAGGCATTACCATAATCGCGCTGTCTTCATTTTCAGCAGCCAGCGAAGTTTTCCGATTTTGATGGGGCCAGTAGTTCGATTATATATATATATATATATATATATATATATATATATATATATATATATATATATATATATATATATATATATTCATCTTACATTGCCTCTAAATGGAGGGTGTCGACCAGATCTCTGGTCACGCCTAGCTGTATGATTCTCAACTACCTATTGGTGCCTCAGCATCGTTTACTTACTCCCGAAGGGCCTTGACCACATTTAGCATGTCATGCATATTCACCACCCATTGGTGCGGATTCAGCCAGTCTGTCAGCATGTTCTTTTCCTAACACTCATACATTTCACGAAAAACATATCCAAAGAACGCTAACTACACCGGACCTCTGAAGCGATGCTTGCCACTCTGCACGAAAGATGCCTATTTCCACAATTCTGTCTAGAGTATTATGGGTAACTCTCGCATGTAGTTCAACTGTCGTAATTTAGATACTTTTAATTAGCGAACTGCTCCTTCGGTGGATGAGTTTCTTACGTCACGTTATGGTACTTTTATATGAATTACTATTGCTATTTAAATATACATGCCTGTTTTCTAAACCTGCTATTTCCTACAACTGTTTCCTACGATTTCAGCCCTTTCTTTCCCATAGTTCAATCCAGAAAAGTAAAACGACGAGTTTTCAGAAATTTAAGAAAAAAAAAATCGTTTGTCAGAAGTTCTTTGGTGGTCGATATAGAATGAGTGAATATAGCTGAACAATGAAGTAGGAAATGATACGAAATGTACACAATTTAAAGTAACAAACTCAGTGTGTGGTTAGTTCCACTCTAAAGTATTAAATGAAATATACTCCTTTGCAAATTGATTATCTGCTTCGAATGTAACTGTTATTAACCCCTATCTGTTTTTTTTTCCAACAGGTGAAAAAAGCCAGGCTATCAATCCCGAAAAAACATACAAAGGCACGACAACAGGAGAGTCGCAACGAACAAAAGGAGACACACAACAAACAACAAGAGAGTCACAACGAACAAAAGGAGACACACAACAAACAACAAGAGAGTCGCAAGAATCAACAGGAGGCACCAAACATCATCAGCACAGAAAAACAGAAACAGAAAATGTCTTGGGGATATGACAAAGATAATGGTAAGTGTTTGTCTTTCAGTCATCCCCCTTCTGGTGTAACTTGTATTACGTCCAATCAAAACTCCTCTGTTCAAACATAGGGACATCCTCAATAGAAAATATGCCACCGAACATTCAATATTTGAACACAGCTCTGACACTGGCACGTAACATAACATTTATGGATTTCCCCCAAAGAAAATCTGTCACAGCAAGGCCTCTACAGTCAGTGCACATTATCTTCTAGCTATTCCGTTTGGTGAACAAAAGCAAGGCAATATTTCTACACCTGACAATTATAGCGGCCAAGTTCCGTGCATGGTGGCTCTATTACGTTCTGTTATTGATCTCATGTATGGTTGTCCCAGTGTTATATTTTTATTTATGGTCTCTTTTACTGATCGTTTTTAGTCGTTATGAAACTGTTTATGTCTACCGGGTCTCGTCTTATCTGTTTGTACATCGGAACAATTTTCTTTTTGATTGTTTTCCATTGGCAAGTCCATTACATATTTTCGCAGCATTTATTTCTTTTCTGGGGATATCTATGGATTCGATATCAGACTCGGTCCTTCACTTGGTGAGTGTAGGTGCTTCGAAGAAACATGCTTCTGAGAAACGTGGGGATAGTTTCTAGAGTTACAGAGTCCGCGTAGTGTGCAACGTTCTTTCCACACTGGAGGATGCCTGGCTTCTTTATTAATATCCTACACCCCAGATGACGTCACAAGATAGTCCCAACATTTTAGAGGGTGGTAAGACAGGGTTTTCCGGCTTTCTGATGCTTTCAACGACCCCAAAACATCTAGAACTGGCTCTAACCACAACCTACCTACGTCCCACGAGAGAGTGCAGCCTAGGTCCCACGAATGCATGCAGCCTATCTACCACCCCCTGAATTATTAGACTGTCCGTGACCTGAGGATTTCCCCTGTTTGGGGTAGGATATTAATATAGCACCGTTGCCTGCAACGGATTTCTAATTTCTTACACTCTCTGTCGCTGGTCTCCATTGTATACTCTCTCAGACAGCTGTTAATCCATTCTGTCCTCCAGCTACATTGCTGTCTCTGGATCGTCTGTATTTAAACTCTTCATGCAGTGTGTGTGTATGTATGTATGTATGTGTGTGTGTGTGTGTATGTGTAAGTGTGTGTGTGTGTTTAAGAGAAATGTATTTTCAATTTTTTTAGTAATTTGCTGAAATATATAATTTGCTGGTTTTTCAAAATTTGTTTCCATCATTCTCTTTTCATTACCGTACTATCCTGAATATTTGTCTTTGATTGCGACTAGGTTAAAAAAAAAGATTGTATGCTTGAATATCTATATCATCCTTTGCCCAGTTGATTGTAAACACTCCTTTAGTATCTGGGTATCTAAACTCTGCAATAAAGCTCAGTGTACATGTATATAAAATTTGTCTATTCTCATATTAATGAGTTTTTAATTGAAACTACACTAGAGAGAAAGTTGAAGACTGGCGAGCAAGAGGTCGTCAGCAATACAACGGAAGGATAACATCAAAAGACTGAGAAACAGCAGTCCGTAAAATGATGCAAAATGGGCGAGAAAAATTCTGAAGACGCCACCTGATTGACTGATATCCGTGCTCTCCTGTTTGACAGTCTGTTCATTATATATCAAATGTCTATAGACTCAGATCGAAGGAGGTAGTTTACAGTAGTTTATAAACGTTTCTCATTTTCTGTCTTTCTAACCCAATCAATAATCTGGTATCATCTGTCTCACCATTCCTACTTTCATCCTCTCCTCCCTCTTGTGGTCCATAATTTATTATACTGGTCATCTTGTTGTCAACGTATAGTTTCGTGGACTGTGGGCCATTTCTTATACAGATTCCACCATGCCATAACTATTATTCCCTTTAATTGTATTCTTCTTGGTCTTCTCTTGTCTCGCTCTTTCCCATTGTCACAACTTACTGCATTGTGTCCCATCTCAAGACAGGTCAGACATGTAGACTATCCCCCTTCCAATGCCGGTCAACAATTTCCTTTGGGAGTCGCACATTAGACTTTCTTGCTTTCAGTGGATTCCTGATCATGCTTCTGTAAAACAACCTCATCGCATCATGTGACTTTTAAACAAAAACAAAACTATAAGGAAACATCATCACGCGAATAGCAAGCACTTGGAGAAAATAAAGTGCCTGTCGACGAGATTGTTTCAATCTTTAACAACAGTGCGGTTTTTTTTTTAACATCCTGTGTATTAAAAAAAGAAGTCAATATGAAAATTAGAATGTTTATTAAACTGCCGTTAAGCAAAGTAGTTGTACTTCACTGAGTGTCTCATTTAAAACAGAAAACGAAATCTAAATAACCGCCAGTGTTCAGCTAATATGAACAAAATAAAATAATAATCCTTTTGCACACACATTCTACCCACTTAGATAGTATCTTTTCAAATGAGTACAATCAAACATTGAACGAATAAAGATCCAGAAATGCCAGGCTTACTTTAATTACTGCAATTACAGGAACTGTCCAGAACTAGTCGTATTTGTTAGAGTAATTTTAACACGATGCAGTTTGTTGGATATTATTATAATGAAAATATTGATTAAAAATGCAAAATAAACTAGTTTTTGGACTTTCCTTATTGTTAGTACCTGAGCAAAAGTGAGGTAAAGAAAAATATTATTCCAGAATCATGGAACCGTACAAAGCCAGCTACCCTTGCTGTCATTAAAGAGGGCAGAATTGACATCAATACAGAAGGCGGCCTTCGCTGGTGGACTGTTAATTCGCTGAGTCTAATGTCATTTCACATAACATTCTCATGACAATTATCCCCATGATATCATTTGACCGCTTGACATAGATTCTCTGTATCTTCAATATTTGTGCCGAGGCATAGATAGATCCTTACGGTCTGAGGAGAATGGCATTGCGAGGAGTTAAAGAGGATCTGGCCGACGCTCGACACTCAGGGAAAAGGCGAGACAGACATACAATCAGACAGTTACTGGTGCCATCGAAATTTTAACTCTTCGCTTGCTGCTGACGATGGGGACGGAGCGCTAATCGGAGTGTCCAGAGTGCCGTAATGTCGATTCTTAATTCAATAGTGTCTCACTTGAGTTCACTGTCTTTTCACTCACAGATGTAGTAACGGTCAAATGATATCCTATCCTGTTTGAATCCAGGATAGTGTGTAAGAATCCTCAACAAACACCTCTGTATGACGAAATGCACAGAACTTAAAACAGCTGTACATCAAAACCAATGAAAGTGAAAGGTGATTACGCTACACTCACTGGGAATCTATCCAATAATTATCCTCTATTCTGCTCTTTACCTTCGCTGCTTATAAAAAATAAATGATAACACTTAAGTGAGAGGCAGGGAGTTTAAAAGCTGCAATTAGAATATTGCAGACAGCATGAATATTTCAGTCGAGCAGGGACAAGCATGTCCGTTCATAGGCCTGGTCCTAACGTAAGGTTCCCGGTGTGAGTCTGAACTCATCTAGATTTATGTGTCGCAAGAAGTTGATTTTTCACTTTGTGTAGTTTGCTTTTATACTGTTATTTACTTTGTCCTGTTCTGTTCTTTATCCCCCTATTGAACATAGGCCCTCAACCAACTCACACAACGCCATGCTGTCCGTTGTCACCGCGTTCAGTTCAGCCTATATCCTCATTTCATCTCTCCATGTGTGTGTGTGTGTGTGTGTGTGTGTGTGTGTGTGTGTGTGTGTGTGTGTGTGGGTGCACGCGCGCGCGTGCTTTTGTCTACTTTTTTTACTCCGTGAGTTCAGTGCAAGGTCCTTCTAGTTATATTGCTGTCAGATGTTATGTAATGCTCTGTCATATTAAAGTTTAAAAAGGACACTGTGTGTGTGTGCGCGCGTGCGTGCGTGTGCGTGAGAGGGTGGGGGGGGGGGAGACAAAGACAGACGCTGGCTAGGCTGGCTAGAAAAAAAGGGAGACAAAAAGAAACATGGAGACACCGGGAGACACGGAAACAGAGGGAGATAGATACAGATGGAGTAGTAGTAGTATAACATTTTACCCCACCAGGACATCACACAGAGCGATAAACACCCGATGAGGTTCACCCGTGGAGAGGTCCCGGAAACCGCTTTCAGCCATTAGGCCATATTTATGGCCGGGATATATCGCGGCCTCTGGCAAGAGCCAGGGTGGGGCTTCAAAATAACGAAAATTGCATCTCACAAGGAGATGATGGATTATCTGAACACATACAGATGGAAAGGAAAACAGAAAGGAAAACAGAATGATTTTGTTAATATACAAGTATATATATATATATATACACACCCACATACACAAATATATATATATATATATATAGAGAAAGAAAGAAAGAAAGAAAGAAAGAAAGAAAGAAAGAAAGAAAGAAAGAGGAAAGATAGAGAGAGGGCGAGAGCAAGGAAGGAAGAGAGAGAGAGAGAGAGAGAGAGAGAGAGAGAGAGAGAGAGAGAGAGAGAGAGAGAGAGACATGCTTTGTTTACAATATAGTCTAAGGGATATCACCGTAGTAGAGATGATATGGCACAACCAGATTGTCTGCTCCTGATAGAATGTACTTGACACTTACAATGTCACCTTCAGAGTTCTAGAGGTGACTGTAGGTAAATGTCACTTTGTTTCGTTGATCTTGATTAATGCGTTCAGTTGTGAATAAAGTCTATAGGTGTTCATACCTTGCGTTTTTATATTGTTTAAGATTAAATTACAAACAAGTCACACATGGTAACTGTAGATTTAATAAATTACCGGTTTTGTGTTAAAAATAAACTGTTCAAGATCAATTTTCAAAAATTATACAGCTTTTTTTTAAAATATATATTATATTCCACTGCACACATTTGGAATACAATACTTCTATTACTGCTACTACTACTATTACTACTATTACTGCTGATTCTACTGCTACTACTACTGTTGCTGCTGCTACTGCTGCTGCTGCTGCTACTACTACTACTACTACTACTATTACTACTACTACTACTACTACTACTACTACTAC